AACATTTTTTTTAAATTTGTGTTGCCCCAAAAAACCCGAAAATGTTTCTGTACATGATAATACTTGTGTGATGTTGATTTGCAAAGTTAGTTCAAATGTTCTTTTATTTGGGAGAAACAAAAAAGAGAAGTTTGCCTGCACAAACTTTGCTGCAAAAATGGACGGTGAGGATAGAAGGTGTAGTTTGAACAAATTTGTTTAGTTATACTTAGCTTTATGAAGATCATGAACCATGTTTTTCACAAATAGGATGGAAAGAAACTAAAAGAGGATGTTGTCTGTTAATACTCTTCTGTGAAGCCGTTGTGCAAAACACATCGTTAGAGCTATACATCTATTATGTGACTAGTAGAGTGACCATGTATTGCCACGGGACAACAAAATTACATGTCGCTCATCATCAATCGTTCCAACCACACCAGTGGTCTCAAAATATTGCTTTATAGCTTATTCCCCATACAATCTCCTACAGGATAAACTTGTGAAAACGGCTAAACAACATACCTACTACGGAGATCTAGATAAAATGATTGTGAAGAATGTGATGCATGTTTAGAAATGATATTCCTTTTCAATGTCTTGTTTTTCAACATGCCATGTCAATAATGAAGGCACCGCTGCAAGCTAGCTAGCTCCCTGATTACTCCATCAACCTCCTACAACGTCTACGTACGTGAGTGTCATCCACGGCCAAAATCCATCAACCTGCTTCGAATTCTTGCTGCGTTTACTTGTGCCCATCTCCATGATGCCCCCCTGTGGCACCTCCTTGACGTCGAAGAACAGTAGGCGGTGCCGCGTTGCACACGTCGGTGCCACAGAAGCGGATGGCGAGTACGGTGCCCACGAACGAAAAAAGTAAGGAAAGGGGCTAGGGTTTTGGGTCGTACGCGCCAGGCGGTGAGTGGAGGAGGCGGAAGGGTTCGCGAGTCCGAGCGCAAGCCAATAGGTGCTGATCACGCTTGGGTTTCGGCCGGAGAGAGATATTTTGTCGACGTACAACTCCTAAACCTACACGCCTTTACACGTCGTGATCATTCCTAATTAACACACGTGCGTGGTCACGACTCCGACGGATGCAATGGATCGGAGTAGAACCGGCCTCTACAATGTCGATCACGAAAATATATACATATCCCAAGTTAGGGCACGGCCAGGTCGCTTCGTGGTTCCGAGCCAAGATTCGGGGCTGTTTGGTTCTTGCCTATGTGAGCCCTGCCAATCGTTGGCTAGCCAATTTATTGGCGCAGGATTCGGGCGCCCCAGACTTGCCAACTTTTTGGCGTCGAGCTGAACTTGGGAAGTGGGAGTTGGCTGGGTGCACCAAAATATTGGTTCCCATCCAAACCGGAAGCCAGGCTTGGTCAATGACCAATTTTTTGGTTTGGCAGTTGAGGGCTGCAATGCGGTGGCGCCACCAATGCCATTGCCGCCTACATCCCGCCGCGCCTCCAAGCCGCCATCCTGCTGCACCTCCCGTCCTTCCACCTCCGCCGCCTGCGCCGCGTCTGCAAGCACTGGCGCGACGTCATCGCAGACGCGCTGAGGCTCCGCCGGCCGGCCGCCCCGACCCACACCATCGCCTTCTTTCGGGGATGCAACGCGGGGAAAGGCGTCCCTGCGATGCTCGGCCATGGGTTCCTCTTCGACGAGCAGTGGAACCTCGCGGCCAGGTTCACCGTCGACAGATCGGCCAGACTGCTAGGCGCGTGCAACAGCCTGCTCTGCTTCCTCCTCAAGCACGCCAACGCCATCAGGGTGGTGGATCCCTGGGCCGGCGCGTCCATCGACGTGCCGCTCTCGCCGGCCAAGCACGGGAGCACGGTCGACGGCGAGTACTGCTTCAGCTTCGACTCCACCACGAGGCAGTACAAGATCGTGCACGTGCACGGCTATACATCCAACTCTCTTCCCAGCAAAGACAAGGACGGCGCCGCCGTGGAGAAGGAGCTGCACCTGCATGTGTGCACCGTGGGAGCGGACAAGGGGTGGAGGAGCGTGCGCATCCGCACCGACCTGCACGGGGTGCCGTACAAGCACGACGGCTTCGCGGAGAAGAAGCCGGCGTGCTGCGACGGGGCGGTGTACTGGCTCGGCAGAACGGCGGCCGGGACCTTCAGGAACGCGCGCTTCGACCTGGCCACGGAGGAGATCACCTCGGCCGCCGATCGGCTGGTCCACGGCCAGATGCCGGCGACGCAGATCTCATGCAGGTACCCGGGGGCGAAGCTGGGCCTGTGCGGCGTCCAGTTCACGTGGTACGGCGAGTGGGACGGCGGCTGCTGGCCGCACAACGTCACCGCCATGCCGCACACGGTCACCGGCGTGCATTACAGCCGAAGCTATCTGAACCTGGGCCGCGTCTGGCGGCGTGTCCCGGGCGCGCACGCCCTGCAGCGGGGGCACCTGCTGGTGCAGGAGCCGGGTGGAGCCCTGTACGCTCACGAGGTCGGGAGCAGCAGCACGTGCATGAGAGAGCTCCGTCTTGTAGGGGATAAGAAGCTGCTAGTTGCCGTTGCTGCAGGCCACGTCGAGGAGGAGCCGGCCGAGTGGTACAAATTCGTTCCCGTTCACAGTCGCCATCAGCAGAGAAGCAAGCAAGCGGATAGAGAAGCAGCTCAAATCGCGTACTACAGCGAACTGCACTTCGTAACCACTTTTGCCTACACCCCGACGCTGTATAATTATACTACTAGTACATCAACGGGGGCAACGGCTGGTTCCTAGCTATGCGCTCCATTTTGGTAGTAGCAATGTTTTGCCTCTCTAGCTAGGAGTTTCTGGCGTTTCAAAGCACGATTCATTATTTTCAGTGAGGTGGTAGGTTTTTATATCTACTAGAAAAAAGGGAGTGACATGGTAGGTAAGAGATGACTGTCATTGCCATTGTGAACTACTCCCTCCGTTCCTAAATATTTATCTTTTTAAAAATTTCAACAAATGACTACATATGAAGCAAAATGAGTGAATCTACACTCTAAAATATGTCTATATAACCTGCAAAAACATTATGTCATTATTATTATTATATTTATTATTAAGAGAAAAAATCATCTAGTGTCCCTGAAGCTTTGCAGATTGCAAAATGTACAAAACCACGATCTAGTTCACACTCTGCCAAACTGTGGGTGTCGCCATGAATATTTGTGTTGGCTCTTGTGATCACAAATTGGGGTTTACAAAATTTTAAGGAGCAATTTGTTACTCTTGGTTATGTGTCATGGCAACTTTGGTTTACATGGTAAAAATAGTTGGAAGTCACATGGGCAATTTTAGAAAAAAAATGCGTCCCAAATCAAAATGCAATTTTTTCGTAGAAATTGTTTTGTGTTGCCAAATCCTTGGAATTTGTCCTCCAAAATCACGGCAATTTTTGTTAACATTATGGGAAAGTATGCAGTAGTAGTTGACCTGGCAAAACAAGTTTGAAAAATGCAATGGGTGACATTTTAATTAACATGGCAACATGCTTTAAGTTTCCATGGCAAAAAGGAATCTTTACTAACCATGGCAACATGTTTTTGTGGTCGTCATGGCAACATTTTTGAAGTTGCTGCCACGGGGACAATGGATGTGTCGACCATACTGGTACTGAGAGCATGCCTCCAGAAGCGCCAGTGCATTTCGGACGGCTAAAGCGTGTCGATAATGCCAAAAGAGGTCGGGGTAGAGAGGTTGGGAGGAGTCCGTAAAGAGGGATCTGAAGGACTGGAGTATTACCAGAGAGCCAAAACCATGAGTTGGTTGCGAGATCTTATAAGTTTCACCTCTAGCCTACCGCAACTTGTTTGAGATTAAAGGTTTGTTTTTGTTGTTGTAGAGATCCAAGGACAGCGGCTAGGGTTACCTCATGTCACTCCTAGGAGCGAGGGGGGGTTCCACTCCTGTGCTCTCACCCACACTAGTGTCATGACTCCTCTGCCCCTCAGCCTTCTCGTCCATCACCATATGTAGCTTCAATAAATACTGCTATTTGACCATACTTATGCCTGCTATTTTTTATACTTAAGGACAACCAGTGTACGATCTATTTCCAACTACTTACTGTTTAGTTCTGACCATATATCGTTGCGGTATTTATTTATCTTTTGAGCAAATGAGGGTTTTCGCTCCGATTTCATTTATAGAAACCAAGCAAAGGAAACAAAACCGAGTTCAGGTCTTCCGCGCCATGGAAGTTCAAACCAAGTCAAGCACTAATACACAATCCTCATACTACCACGATTACAGAGCACATAGCCCAGGATCAAAACTCACACTGGAGCAAGTCTAGAGCTGACATAACAAAGCAAGCAGAGAAATAATAGTTGCAATCTACTGTATTTGTGTTTTCGACTGTTCTTCATAACACTGGGGCCCTGCAGTCTTTTCTTGGAGCATGAAATGGAACAGAAATTCGGTTTCTGCACGAGACTCTGGCATCGACATTTTCTTCAATGAACCAATCTAAGGACTTCAACCATGTACCCTATTTTCTCCTGGTATTTGTACCTGACCACTAACTTTCTCATCACATGTTATTTTGTCATTAACTGTTTAAAGAGCAGTATAGCAAATTATAAAAGATACTCCCTCTGTTCACTTTTATAAGACTTTGAAGATATTTCAGATAATGTGCAAAACAATCTATTTTGATTTGTCTGAAACGACTTACAAAAGTGAACGGAGGGAGTACAACATTTCCTTCTACATCCAGAATGATCTCGCTGCTTTGGCAAGGTCTCCATGGAGTAAAACTATTGTGTCAGTCATCATCGAGTGTTTTGTTTGTTGTGAGAATGAAGGAAACCATGCTAAGGCTAAGAAGAAGAAAATTCAGTTTAGGTAGGATAGTAGATGTAAATTACTCCAGTTTTTGGTTGCATGCTCGAAGTAACTGTATTAAGCTAGCTCATCATAAATCATATTTGGTTCTAGGAGGAAGAAGCCTCGGACTTTGTTGTAAGTGCATCATATTTTCAGAATTGTGTTATTGTCACAGTTCATCATTACTACAAAGTATGCCTACTGGCTTACATTTTCTTCTCCAAATCTTTGAGAAGTGTGCGGATGCCAGTCTAAATCTTGATTCCGCTGCAGTTTGCTGTGCAGTTGAGAAGTGTGCAGTTTGCTGTGCAGTTAAGCCCACGACCACCACCACCACTTCCTCCACTCCCACTTCTCCGCTCTCACCCCACACCAATGCCATGACTCCCCTCCTCCTCCTGTGCCTCCTCCTCGCCACCGCCGCCGCCGCCACGCCCCTCCCCGCCAACTTCACCCGCCTCCTCGCCGCCAAGGCCGCGCTCTCCGACCCCGCCTCCGCGCTCGCGGCATGGGACCCGTCCCTGCCCCCCTCCCTCTCCCCGTGCCGCTGGCCGCACGTCCTCTGCCGGTCCTCCGCTGACCCAGCCATCGCCTCGCTCCTCCTCTCCAACCTCTCCCTCGCCGGCGCGTTCCCGACCCAGCTCTGCTCGCTGAGGTCCCTCCTGCGCCTCGACCTCTCCTACAACTCGCTCGCCGGCCCCCTCCCTCCCTGCCTCGCCGCGCTGCCGAATCTGAGGCACCTCGACCTCGCCGGGAACGCCTTCTCCGGAGAGGTGCCCAGCAGCTACGGCGCGGGGTTCGCCTCGCTCGCCACGCTCAGCCTCGCCGGCAACGACCTCTCCGGCGAGTTCCCGGCGTTCCTGGCGAATGTCAGCTCCCTCCAGGAGCTCCTGCTCGCGTACAACCCCTTTGCGCCGTCGTCTTTGCCGGATGCTTTCGCCGATGGGCTCCCGCGCCTCCGCGTGCTGTGGCTCGCTGGGTGTTGCCTCGTCGGGCGGATACCGTCTTCCATTGGCGCTTTGAGGAGCCTCGTCAACCTTGACCTCTCCACCAACAACCTCACCGGCGAGATCCCGGAGAGCATCAGGCGCTTGGAGAACCTCGTCCAGATCGAGCTCTACAAGAATAACCTCTCCGGGAGGCTGCCGGGGGGAATGGGCGGGCTCAAGAAGCTGAGGTTCTTGGACGCCGCCATGAACAGGCTGTCCGGCGAGATACCGGCGGACCTGTTCCTCGCGCCGAGGCTGGAGAGCTTGCACCTGTACGAGAACGAGCTGTCAGGCCCCGTGCCGTCGACGCTGGATAAGGCGCCTGCGTTGAACGACCTGAGGCTGTTCAGTAACCGCCTCGTCGGGGAGTTGCCGCCGGAGTTCGGGAGGAACTGCCCGCTCAAGTTCCTCGACCTGTCAGACAACGGGATTTCCGGCCGCATTCCGGCGACTCTCTGCAGCGCGGGGAAGCTGGAGCAGCTTCTGATCCTGAACAACGAGCTCTCGGGCTCGATTCCGCAGGAGCTGGGGCAATGCCGGACGTTGACGCGTGTGCGGCTGCCCAACAATCGGCTGTCTGGAGCCATGCCGCCGGACATGTGGGGCCTGCCACGCCTGTACCTGCTGGAGCTCGCCGGCAACGCTCTGTCCGGCACCATGGGGCCAACCATTGCCTTGGCGAAGAACCTATCGCAGCTGCTGATATCAGACAACCACTTCGCCGGCGTGCTGCCGGCGCATATAGGCAGCTTGACAAGGCTGGTCGAGCTGTCGGCCGCCAATAATCAGTTCTCTGGTCCTCTGCCGGCGACACTCGCTGATGTGTCCACGCTCGCCCGGCTTGATTTACGGAATAATTCCTTCTCCGGCGAGCTGCCACATGGTGTTCGGCGGTGGCAGAAGCTAACACAGCTCGACCTTGCCCATAACCGTCTCACCGGGAACATCCCGCCGGAGCTCGGGGAGCTCCCTGTGCTGAATTCGCTTGACCTGTCCAACAACGAGTTCACCGGCGGCGTGCCTGTGCAACTGGAGAGCCTTAAGCTGAGCATGTTCAACCTGTCCAACAACCGGCTCGCCGGCAATTTGTCTCCTCTGTTCTCCGGCGACATCTACGATGACAGCTTCTTGGGCAACCTAGCCCTCTGCCGAGGCGCATGCTCCGGTGCGCGGAGAGCAGCCACCCGCCGCCACAGCCTCGTCGGGAGCGTCGAGTCCGTGCTCACCTTTGCCGTCGCCATACTCATCCTTGGCGTCGCGTGGTTCTGGTACAAGTGCCGGAGCCAGAGCCAGCACAAGAAGCGCGGCGAGGAGCCCGGCGATAGCAAGTGGATAGTCACGTCGTTCCACAAGGTGGAGTTCGAGGAGGAGGACCTCCTGAGCTGTCTCGACGACGAGGACAACGTGGTCGGCACGGGCGCGGCGGGCAAGGTGTACAGAGCCGTCCTCGGGAACGAGGATGTCGTGGCCGTCAAGAAGCTGCGGGCCGTCGGCGGCGCCGCCGCGGCGAGGAAACACAAGGGCATGACGGATACCTTCGAGGCGGAGGTGGCGACGCTGGGCAGGATCCGGCACAAGAACATCGTGAAGCTGTGGTGCTGCCTCCGCAGCGGTGACCGCGGCCTGCTGGTCTACGAGTACATGCCCAACGGCAGCCTTGGCGACCTCCTCCACGGCGGCAAGGGAGGCCTGCTGGACTGGCCGATGCGGCGCAGGATCATGGTCGACGCGGCCGAGGGGCTCTCCTACCTCCACCACGACTGCGCGCCGCCGATCGTGCACCGGGACGTCAAGTCCAACAACATCCTGCTGGACGCCGAGTTCGGCGCCAAGATCGCCGACTTCGGCGTCGCCCGGGTCATCGACGACAACCGCGGCGGCCCCAACGCCGTGTCAGCCATCGCCGGCTCGTGCGGCTACATCGCTCCCGGTGAGCCGCCAACGGTTCTTTATCCCGGACTTTACTAATTTGCCGATGAACTGATGACCGTGATGTGTGTGAACTCCAGAGTACTCGTACACGCTGCGCATCACGGAGAAGAGCGACGTGTACAGCTTCGGCGTGGTGATGCTGGAGCTGGTGACCGGCAAGAGGGCCGTGGGGCCGGAGCTCGGCGACAAGGACCTGGTGAGGTGGGTGCGCGGCGGCGTCGAGCGCGAGGGGCTGGACTCGGTGCTGGACCCAAGGCTCGCCGGCGAGTCGTGCACCTGCAGGGACGAGATGCGCAGGGTGCTCGGCGTGGCTCTGCTCTGCGCGTCCAGCCTCCCGATCAACCGGCCTTCGATGAGGTCCGTCGTGAAGCTGCTCCTCGATGTCAGCAGCAAGCCCGCCGTGTTGGTGGAGGAGAAGGAAGCTCTTCGTGTGTGATTGATGCATGGCAATGGCATGTCTCATATAGCAGGATAATGGTAATAATTTGATAGTGGCTCACTTGGTTAGCATCGCCACACTCTTACGCATGCGGAATACACATAGGTGTGAAATCTTAATGCAGCTTAACTAGCCAGCAGGTGACTCCATTAGCGAGGCCTAGGGCATGGCCAATGCATAGTCTCAGGTTGATGCCTCACATGTCATGTAGGATCGGATGACAGAAAAAATAGGTTCAGACCAGAAGGCGGGTGTTTAGAGAGAAAAGTGTGATCCAGTGCATAAAGTTGAAAAAAATGGAAGTAAAGAGGAGGGATGCATATGTACTGAGAATCATTTTTTATTTTTTGATGAGGTTCACTAATAGTAGCTTGCATTGAGGAGAAAAAATCAATACATATATTCAAATTACTTTTTGTCATGAGATATTTGTATCCATATGCCATCATTGTACATGCCTTAAAAACACTTGAGTTTGTAACATGAGTATTTTTCTCTTATTGTTGCTGTTGTGACGGCAGATAGATCCGTATGTATGGCAGGCTTGGACAAGAAAGTGACAGTCTAGCATTGTACTGACGGAGTGGAGCACACTATTCAGTTGTGGTGGAAAGCTGAAAGAGAACAAGTAGGAGTAGCTCATTGTGCAGAGGCGGTGCTGGCTTTTCTTTCTTGCCGAAAAGATGGAGGTTTTTGTTTGCCTCTGCATGTGGTACTGCTGCCTAGTGTGGAGGACCATGGCTAGCTTGGGGCCCTGGTGTGCATGATAGTCTGGTAATACAGTTGTAAACAGAAACAGGTGCGGTGGCTGTCGGGATAGGGATAGATCTTAATCCTAGTATGAGTAGGTAGGTAAGTGTTTGTATGGTGAACGAGGGTGGTGCCCGAAATCACACCAGCTCATGGTGACAATGCTATATGGCTAGCTTCGCATAACTCAAATGAAATAGTTGCAGAGTAAAATAGTGCTTTCGTCCCTGGACGACTTATTATCGACAATGTCCTCACATTATATGAATGCATACACTCTATTTGGAAGAAAAAAAGGTAGACAAGGATGGTGTGCGTCAAGATCGATATGATAAAAGCCAATGATAGAGAGTTAAGTGGGCATATTTACAAGGTATAATGCAACGACTTGGTTTTGGAGAAGAATGGATCTCGCTTGTTATGCGGTGTGTCACCACTGTGAACTTTTAGGTCAAAATAAATGGCGAACTACTACCGGCTTTTAAACCCTTGGGTAAGAATGGATCTCGCTTGTTATACATAGATCCGTATCTATGGCAGACTTGCATAAGAATACACTTAAGCTACATTTCAGTTAACTGAAAGTTCACTTTTGGGCCAGTCGATTTTGTGGCCACTAGATTTTTCTTTCAGATTTGTGCTGTGTTTTTCCCCTGACCTGTGGTGTTTGTTGTTGTGGGCTTCTTCTTCTTTTTTGACTGACCCCTATCTGGGTCGGTTGGTTGATTTCCTTCGGGGCCGAAGCCCATTAACTGTGTGATCCGGCCCTCCTCTCTCTCCCTTCGTTTTTTATTTTTTTATGTGCTTTTGCTTTTGTTTTTTCTGTTTCTCTTTGTTAGTTGGTTTTATTTTTATTTGGTGGATATTTTTTGGGATGTTGGGTGAGTGTAGTGTACACATATAAATAATTTACAATTTGTGCGAAAATTAGACTACTATATGATTATTGTTTGCGTAAAAAAAAAGTGTAATTTAAGAGCGAAGTTGTGTGCAAGTTTTGCAAACTTTTTTTCTCTTTTTAAATGGGTAATGATAATGCCCCTAATTCATTTTTTCTTAGAAAAACTAATATTCGGATTTTTTTTATTGTCTATTTATTTTTCTTCTTCTTAACGGGTAATACCAATGTTAATAATTCATTTTTCCTTAGAATACCTCATTATTTTGATTTTGTTCTTGTTTTTATTTCATTTTATTTTTTCTAAAAGAGTAATACGTAAGACAATAATACATTCTTTCTTGAAAACTTTGGTTTTAGGTTTTAGTATTATTTTATTTCCTTTATTCTTTAATTATAATACCAATGTGTCATTTCTTCTCAGGAAATTTCCTTTCTGTGAAAATTACACTATTATATTCTTATTCCTGCATATTACAAAAAATGCGCAACTTCTGTGCAACTTATTTGCCAAATATTTCATTATTTGTTTTATTATTTTCAGTTCCTTTCCTCCTAACGGGAAACCAATGACACTAATTCATTATTTGTTAGAAAACTTCAATATTTTAATTTTGTTGAAGTTTTTATTTCATTTTCTCTATTCTTTAAGGGTAATACCAATACCTCTAATTCATTCCTACTTAGGATTTTTTTGTGACATTTCACTATTTGTGCTTATTCTTGCACATTATAAAAAAAGCGCAGTTTCTAATCAAACAACGTGCAAATTTTGTCATTTTTTGTTTACTTTTCTTAGTATCGATACCACTAATTCAATATTTTGATCTGGAGACGTAGAGACATCATGGATCAAATACCAATGCCACTAAATCATTCTTTCTTTAGAAAAGTTTCTTTTTTTGCGAAAAAATCAATATTATGTGTTTATTCTTGCATATTATAACAAAGTGCAATTTATGTGCAGATTGTGTGCAAATTTTGTCATTATTTTGTTTTAGTTTTTCTTATCATTTTCTTTCCTATTTAAGGGTATTTTTGCTTCATTTTTTATTTCTATTTTCTGTTTCAATGGGTTTTTCTTTTTTCCCTTTTCTTTCCTTTATTGGTTCTTTTTGTTTTTTGTGGGTTTTTGGCTGAGCGTAATTATATAGAAACAAATACTATATAATATGTGCCAAAATTTCATGATTATATGTGCACTAAAAATGGGAAAATTATGTGCAAATTGTTTGCAAAATATTTCATTTTTTCTGTTCCTTTCTTGTTAACGGGAAACCAATGACACTAATTCATTATTTCTTAGAAAACTCCACTATTTTAATTTTGTTTAAGTTTTTATCTCATTTTCTTTATTCTTTAAGGATAATATCAATACCTCTAACTCATTCCTACTTAGGATGTATATTTTTTTTGTCAAATTTCACTATTTGTGCTTATTCTTGTATATTGTAAAAAGGCGCAATTTCTATTCAAACCATCTGCAAAAAATTCATTATTGTTTTTTTACTTTTATTTCTTCTTAACCGGTAATACCGAAACCACTAATTCATTATTTTGATCCGGAGAAGTAGAGACACCATGGATCAAATACCAATGCCACTAGTTCATTCTTTCTTTAGAAAAAAATATTTTTCTGAAAAATTTCACTATTACATGTTTATTCTTGCATATTATAACAAAGCGCAATTTATGTGCACCTTGTGTGCAAATTTTGTCATTATTTTGCTTCAGTTTTCTATATCATTTTCTTTCCAATTTAATGGTATTTTGCTTCATTTTTTACTTTTGTTTTCTGTTTCTACGGGGTTTTCCTTTTCCCATTTTCTTTCTGTAAGACAATAAGTTTTGGGAACCAGCACAACCCTCTAGGGGTGGCTTATCTCATTATATATAATGGTTGTGTTACAATACGTACATAGGTACAGAAGTTATACATAGTCTAACACCCTCCCTCAATCTTAGCCACTTTCTAAAGAACTGAGAAGGGTAAGATTGCGCCTACAAGCCTCAAACTGTGGCAGTGGTAAAGGCTTAGTGAAGATATCTGCAAGTTGATCCTTAGACGAGATAAACTTGATCTGAAGTTGCTTCTGTGATACACGTTCCCGTACAAAGTGATAGTCAACTTCAATGTGTTTCGTTCGGGCATGAAATACTGGATTTGCAGAAAGGTATGTAGCACCGATGTTATCACACCAAAGAATAGGAGGCTGTGATTGAGACAAACCCAACTCCTGAAGCAAAGACTGCACCCAAATAATCTCTGCAGTAGCATTAGCCACAACCTTGTACTCAGCTTCAGTACTGCTACGTGACATAGTAGCCTGTTTCCGAGCACTCCAGGCGATCAAATTAGAGCCAAAGAATACTGCATAACCCCCCGTGGATCGCCTGTCATCTGGGCTACCAGCCCAATCTGCATCAGAGAAGGCCGAAAGGACCCGAGAGGAAGTCGGCCGAATATGCATACCAAAAGTCAGGGTGAACTGAACATAACGAAGAATGCGTTTAACAGCAGCCCAATGAGTATCTCTGGGAGCCTGAAGATACTGACAAACCCTGTTAACAGCATAAGAGATATCTGGTCTCGTGATCGTCAAGTACTGAAGTCCACCAACAATGCTTCTGTACTCTGTGGCATCCGCAGGAGACAAAAGCTCACCATCAACAGCTGTTATCTTGTCGGTAGACGACATGGGTGTGGTGGTCGGTTTGCACTTCAGCATGCCGGCTTTTTGTAACAACTCCAAGGAGTACTTCTTCTGCGTAAGGACAAGACCAGTAGCACGAGAAGTGACCTCAACTCCAAGAAAGTAGTGAAGCTTCCCAAGATCTTTGACCGCAAAATCAGCACCAAGAGAGCAGACAAGAGCATCAGCAGCATACTGAGAAGAGCTGACAAGGATAATATCATTGACATATACCAAAAGATACATAGTGACTTCTGGCTTCTGTAGAAGAAATAATGAAGTGTCAGCAGTGGACGGCACAAACCCATGAGCACGAAGGGCAGAGGCAAGGCGGGCATGCCAGGCACGAGGAGCTTGCTTCAAACCATATAGTGCTTTGGAAAGACGACAGATATAGTCAGGACGATCAGGATCAGAGAAACCAGGCGGCTGTTTCATATAAACCTCTTCCTCCAAAAATCCATGTAGAAAAGCATTCTCCACATCAAGTTGACGAAGGGACCAACCACGAGAAACAGCAATGGAGAGAAGAAGCCGAATAGTGGTAGGCTTGACGACAGGACTGAAGGTGTCCTCATAGTCAAGACCATGACGCTGCCGAAAACCGCGAGCAACAAGTCGCGCTTTGTAACGCTCAATAGATCCTCACTTTGAAT